TTGATTCATCACAAAGGCTCTGGAACAGGGGTAAGGATCACTGTTCAATATACAGATTTCTTCAGGATTATGACACTTGAATTCATGTAGAATGGACTGGAGATAGAAAGAGACTGGAAAAAAAAGGGGGAACAATTCATATTTAAGATCACAGTAAGAAATCAATGTGGATTTAAGGATGGTAAGAGTCAGTTTATGGGTAAATAAGAGGGTAGCATCAGCCAAACTAAATTTAGAGTTTCAGATCCAATCAGTTTCATGTGATATGCTTTTAATTGTGATACATCCAAATTGTTGATGAGAAAGTAGAATGCATATGAAATACATTGTTTTTGCAATCTGAGCAATGTGGCTTAGCAAATTGGAAGAATGATCAGTGTAAATACTGAAGTCAGTTAGGATTTTGATAGTGGTCTGTCATTTGCTTGGGATTTCTCCGCCCCCTTGGCGTCCCCGCTCTGTTTTCAAGGTCCCATTTCTCCTTCTGATTTTGCTAAATCTCTGACACATCTACAACTTCTTTACCATATTTGTGAAAAGTCCAGAAGAGAATGAAAGGTGTTTTGTGCCATGGAAACCCCGTTGCTTTATTGTGACGATAAAAAGTTTGAATGTAAAGAAATGATTGATATTTACAAATAATCTGCGTTCCCTCCCATCTATGACAATGGAATGCTCTGGCAGCAGATTAAAATACACACATACCTGTAACCCTGCAGGCTGGTTTCAGTTCCAGTCAAGTAGAGGAAGGAAGATGAGGAAGTTCAGTGTTGATGGGTAACTCAAGCTCCCGGTTCACTCCTCTTTCTGATGTGGTTGAACTGGCAGGTGTAGTGATGCTGAGAGCGAGCTGGTCAGCCTTAGAGAAGTCCTGTCTAACAGTGAGTGATAGTGAGCAGTCTCCATAAGGGAGATCTTAGTAAATGCTCCAGATTCTCATGGGGGCTGATGCATAAGCGTTTGAGAGTGAACAGATCAGCCCTTTGGAGGAGCGCCAGGTGGATTTGATGTCCACCACTCCCGTTCTTCTCATCCCCTACGATTCTCCAGTGGCTAAGATGACCACTCTCTGCCTTCACTCTTTTCCAAAAGAGATTGCCTGGCTCTCTAGCTCCCTTCCTCGTCTAAAAATCCTCAAGGACGCGCTCTGCTCCTTCTTTGCGGCAGTTCCTTGCCATCGACTTTATCTTCAATTTTGGGACGAGAAGGCAGAACATCCATGCATTTGGCTAGAGGAAACTTTGGTTTTGGGGTGTAATATTTGCTTCTGGCATGAAGATCTTTCAGTGTTATTTCCACAGCCTTCAGATGAATAGCCAAGTCATTAAATGGAAGGACAAAATATATATGCTTCCAAACAAATCTTAAATCATGGCAAAAGAGGGCCCAACCATGTCAGGTTTAATAAACAGCTAGTGTATTTTTAGCCAATAAATAGATGGTGACACATCAGCGACTTTGTATAGCATTCTAGAAGGTTGTAATGGACATTTCATGATTTCCAATCAATTTTGTTTGGGGCATGTTAATTACTCTCGTTTATGTTTTAAATGCCAACTTGTTTTTAAAAAATTAGTTTTAAGGAAATTGCATAAATTGGACCACCCCCAATAAATTATTTAATATCGTGCTTGAATTAAATGGGAACACGGTTGGTTTACTCTCTGCTGAAAGCACCACGCATTTATCATTTAAGCCCCAGCAATAATTGTTTTTTAAGCTTTCTTAGCGAAGTGCCATCCTATTGTTGTGCTTAGAATAGGACTGTTCCAAATCAGCCTTCTTTATTGCTAATGATTTGGGGAGGATGGCTCTGTGTTCCCATGGAAGGCCCATGCCCATGCCCCTGGTGTAATGCGTGTCCTTTGCGTTTGTCTTTCAGATGGAGCCCCTCTGAGCTGGTGGGTTGGAAGAACCAAGGACGTGCAGACTTACTGGGGAGGTTCTTTGCCTGATCTTAAAAAGTGTACTTGTGGATTCGAGGGGAACTGCATTGATTCTCAATATTACTGCAACTGCGATGCAGATCGGAATGAATGGTGATTTCTATGTGATTGAGATAAAGTTTTTCTTTTACGTTTTGGTGAAATCACTCAACATATGCATAGCTGGGCAGGCACTGGGTAAGCTAGTACAATGACGAAACAAAACGGGGTCCCCTTCACTTGGATCCAAACGGTGAATGTTTTTACTTGAGTTTTGAGTCATAACAGATTGGGGGGTCACGTACATTTGATTTTCTAATATGGGGAAGTAGAAGCATCTGTTTTCTATTTTGTCTTCCTTGGATGCCAACTAGCATGCACTTGAAAATTAAATGCAATTAGGCATTCTATTATTCACAAAATCTATTTACAGCCAGTAATTAGCTAGAGCCACTGCCTCCTAAACCTTGCAAACTTTAAACGTGTGCACTCAAAAACATGTCACAATTATTTTTACATGTAGCCCCTTCCCTTCCCCTCTGCCAAAGAATGAATGTTCTTTGAATTGTAGTTTTAAGAAGACAATCTCTAGCATTTCAGCGATTTGAAAACTGAATTTAAAATAGTCATCTAAGCGGTGGGGGGGGGACCTTTTATGTACAATCACCTTGATCTGAGAAGTTTTTAGACTATTCATTTGTATCTGAGGCTAGAGTGGGGAGTGTTGATTTTGTTTGTTATTTGTAAAGCGAAAGTGTCCGATTTTCAAGTTCTTATTTCAAGACACCTCTGGAGAAAGATGAGGCTCTTTCCTCCCATCAAGAGTTAGAGTCTCGGGAACCCACAGGGGCAGCTCTACGCTCGTCAACGGCGTGGCTGTGAGTCAGAATGGACTCACAGTTTGGTTTGGGGTTGAGTTCAACAAACCGATTGTATCGTTCACATCACTCAGCAACCAGACCCGTGCAGAAAATCATTGTTCTTCAATGCCAAGTCAGTCTGGTTACAGATCGGATGGTTTTGCTTACAGAATAGCATATTCATTCCCACAAGCCATCCGTTGCTAATTGAGCTCAAACTCTGAAATGTCTAATATTCTAAACACTGAGAGACTCGATTCCATTAAAAAGACCAAACCCGAACCCAGACTCTTTGAGAATGGCCTGGCAGGAGACATCATTATAATCAAAATGGACTTATGATGGTGCTTTTATTGCATGTTTGGCATGAGAAGTATTGTATCTCTTACTTCAACTCTAATTTTCCCAAATCCTAATCCATTTTGAAGACACTCTTCCTCATTACAGTCACATAAAAATGCCTACAGAGTCATATAGTATTTTCAAATATGAGTCAAATGTTAACAGCCACGCTGCAACGGAGAGAAGAATCTGACATAATCTCCAATAAGTCTTCACTGCCTCCATACATATTACTAATTAAAAATAGCTTTGACAAAGAAGGCTTTGAAACTTCCTGTATTACATTCTGCTTACAGCAAACTAGTTTGCTTTGAATGAACCCTCCGCTGATAATTATAACCCAGGGAAATTATTTATCTATTTTAAAAACACACATACACAACAAATGGGGCTACTTGACATAAGTAGAGAGCAGCTATAGGCAGACAGAAGCTGCCAGGGATGGGGCCCTCAAAGAAGAGAACAGGGTGGGAGGATGGAACAACAGGGTGGGAGGATGGGAGATCACTTATCCATGGTGGCGGGGGAGGCCAATCTATACCACCCCCCACCCTCAGATCCTCATGTGACCCTTGACCCAAGAGAAAGCTACATCTGGGAAAACCTACCTTGCCAACTCTACACAGATTTCAGCTGCGGCGATCAAAGACCTCACTGGCGTCCAGTCGATTCCCGCCATCACTCACTCCTGCTAGCAACCCCACAGGCTGTCTGAGGCTGTCAATCTTTCCGGGAGTTTGATTCATGAACCTTGTGTTTAGCTGTCCAAGGCATAGCCCACGGCATCATCAGAGCGCCCCCACCCCCACCCCTGTCACTTCCTCGAGCCCCTGGGAGACAGGAGAACTGCTTCAGAGGGCTGCACACTTTTACAGAAGCACCCATGGGGGTTCGCTCCCACCTTCTGGTTAGCAGCTCGGTGCTTAACCCGCTGTGTCACCAGGATGCCTTTCTGCTATTAGAGGGAAGTTAGAATTTGAAATTGGAATCCCAATACTTTAGACGGAGATTCTGGGTGGTGCAATGGTTAAGTGCTTATAGTCTAACCAAAAGGTTTGCAGGCCCAGCAAGAGAAGCCATCTCTGGGCAGCTGTGCCCTTAAAGAAAGACAGCGGAGGGAAACCAATGGGCGCTTTCACTCTGTCTGATGGGGTCTCTCTGAGTCAGAATTGACTTGCAGACACACACCAGCACAGACAGCAATTCAGATTTGCATAGAAACTCCACAGGGTTCACCCATTGACAGCAGAGACTGTCCCCAAGTTGAGGCACGTAAATAAAAACCAGGGCTCAACATCAACCAGTACATTAAATGTAAATGGATTAACCATACCAATTAAAAGGAAGCAAACAGCTAGCTGCATTGAAAACTGTTGACCGTGGTCTGTCTGCAGAAGGCATTAAAATGTCACCACATTGTCACATGCTCAGAGGAGCCACTTGTCCTTACTCTTTTGTGTGTGAAAATTTATCCAGAACATCTTGGTTTTGAAATGCAAGAAGGATTATTGTTTATCTTCTAATTATGCTCATTAGAATAATTTTAAGAGTTTTGTTATTGCTTCTGTTTGATAGGACCAATGACACTGGATTCCTTTCTTATAAAGAACATCTGCCCGTAACTAAGATAGTGGTTACAGACACAGGCCGGCCGCACTCAGAAGCCGCGTACAAACTGGGGCCTCTACGCTGCCGGGGAGACAGTAAGTAGTGTCCATGTATTGTCATCATACCTTGGGAAAGGGAAGCCACCTGACCACCATGCTTCTGGTTATAAATGAGCAGCCTACGGTTAGGAAAACCCATGGTTGTGTTGCCATTTAGCCAGCGATCATGGAGTACCCGTGTAAAGCACAACCCCCTGAGATGCATGCAGTGAAACCCGATCAAGGTTCCCAGAGAAGGAACTGCTGAGCACGGCAATTTGATTTGTCGCATGTGCATTGCAACACACCTCAATGTCTACATGCCATTGTCCACAGATGAAAGCCACAATTTTGCATTATGAAGCATCAATGTGAGAAAACCCAAGACACTGCCATTGAATCAATTCCAAGTCCAATGGCCTGCTATCGGGTTTCCAAGAACATGAATCTTTGCAAGATCAGATAGCTCCCTCTCCCTCCCCTGGAGAGGCCGGTTGATCTGATGGCCGGTAGATCTGATGGCCAGTAGATCTGATGGCCGGTAGACCTGATGGCCGGTAGATCTAATGGCGGGTAGATCTAATGGCGGGTAGATCTGATGGCTAGTCGATCTGAATCACCCATGTGGTTAGCGGCCCAATGTTCGCTCCTCAAGGCAACTAGGACTCCCTTGAAGGCTACACCATGAAAAATTGTTAAGAATGTATATAAGCGTATTTCTCTAGCAGAAAATGATAGCATTAATGGGATCAAATGTCACTTTAATCAAATCTATTTCAATCCTCGACTTTTGTTTCTCTCTCTCTCTCTCTCTCTCTCTGTATGTGAGTGTACTTCATTTTAAACCAAGCAGGCATCCTGTTTTATATAGGAAGGAGCTTCAAAGGGCTTGTGAGAAAGTCCTCTTATCTTTGAATTCCATTTCTTATGAAATGTTTGAAACCCTTTGTATTCAGGCTTGACACTCGACGTCCACACGGAACTATTTTTCAGCAGGGATTGGAATGAGCACATGTACCCATTCCTAGATTTTCCATGACCTTCTCGGAAATCAGAGAGGCTACAGGCAGATCCATAATTATTGATGCCCTTGGCGATTTCCAGAACTTAAAGTAGAAATAGAAGAAATATTTGTTTGCATGAAAATTACACCTTCAAATAAAATTTTATTGTAGGAGCTCAATCCAAAGAGGAAGAGGGGTGCTCTGACAGTATGGCAGATGGATGGGAATACACAGCTGAAGTTGCTTAGTTTCAAAGCAAAGGTGATACCGACCTATAAAAATGTATATATTCCATGTAAGCAACGGTCTGCCATTATCCCCACCATCCCTGATCTTTATCATGTTCTACTTTCTGCTCTGATAGTAAGACATAATCACGTGAAAATGATACAGGGTGTTTGTGCAGAGAAAGAGAAAAATATATGTGCAAAGAGATGAAGTTGTAAGCGCAGGCTGCCTGGAGGACAGTGTAGTTTGCATGGTGACAGAGGGTTTTCTGGCCATCACTTGCACTTTTTACTACCAGAGGTGACTGTATCCCATCAGAGGTCTGGGCTGATGTCTTCCATCTTCCTTATTCATTAGCCACATTCCCTGGACATTTGGGGATGCTTCGACTAAGCTCACCACCAATTCTACACCTGAGAGCATCATTCTCCCAAACCACCTGCCAGGAACGTAAGCACGCAGCCAGCACCTTTTCACTCAGAGCAAACACCCACTCACTCTCACTGCCCCCAGGAGCTTCCCATTCACGGCAACCCTCTGGGACAGAGCAGACCTGCCCCTGTGTGGGTTTCTGTGACTGAAGCTCTTCCCTGGCCTAGAAAGCCTTGTTGTTCTCCCTGAGGGCAGATGGCGGT